TGGATTTCATGTGCAGCAGATGATTGGGCGTGAGCGGTTCTAGGCTGTTGGGGCTGTTCAAGTTATCTATAGTCAGGGGTCTGCTATTGACTATAGCCATGGCTTCGTAGAATAACGTCCGTAATGAAGCATCATTGAGTCTGTCATGAGCCAGTGACAGAGTGGTATTCAGCACACTCTGACAGTCTTTATCTGACGTTCCCACACTCCCCCTGTATGACTAGCATGGGGTGCGTTCATCACAAAGTCACATTGTTTTTCAGTCAAGTATGTATTTAGTCTCTGAGTGTCTAGCTCATTTAAAGCTGCTTTAAACTCATTCTGAGCACCAACAAAGTTCGTTCCCTGGTCACATTGGATGTGTCGAACTGCACCTCTGATTGAAATGAAACATCTTAATGCATTAATAAATGCATCAGTAGACAAGTCCTCTAAGAACTCGATGTGAATGGCACGAGAACAAAAGCAAGTAAGTAGGAGTCCATACCGTTTGTGTTGTTTTCTTCCCTCTGTTGTCACAAATGGACCAAAACAGTCCATGCCGCAGTGTGTGAAGGGAGGAGAGGGCTCTAAGCGATGTGGAGGTAGGTCACTCATCCTCTGACCCTCTGGAGCTTTGCGGAGTCTGCGGCAGATCACACATTGTCGGATGAATGAGGCAACTGTTTTACTCATTCCAGGAATCCAGTAGCCACTGGATCTGATTTCATTTATGGTGAATCCCTTTCCTTGGTGTTTTACTTTGTTATGACAGTGAGATATTATGAGTTTGGCTGCACAATGTTCTTTTGGGATCACGATCGGGTGTTTGAAGGTGTCACTCGTTGCATGCTGGAGTCTCCCTCCCACCTTGAGGAGACCATCTGTATCCATGAAAATGTCCAGTTTAAACAGTTTGTTATGATGTGGGAGCTGTTCTCCTTTCTTCAGCTGTTTTATTTCCTGTTCATACGCTTGACTTTGTACATGTCGAATGGTCACAAGTTCAGCATTTTTCTGCTCACTCACTGTAGCTGATGCATTTGACTTGATGTGTCTAGCCCTTCTTATGAGACGTGCTACAGCCTTAATTGCTTTGGACCAGGAGGAGAACTTACTTAGACATTCAGCAAGACTTACAGTGTCTGTGACTTTAGTTAACATTGTCTGTACTTTTCTGACTTCTGGATCTCCTATGGTCAGATCCAGCTCGACAGGTTGTACTGTGGGCAGTTCATTTTTCCACAAAAAGGAGGGGCCAGTGAACCAGATAGACTTATTTAACTCATTGACAGTTACACCTCTCGAAGCACCGTCAGCTGGATTCAGTTCTGATGGCACGTAAAACCACTGCTGAGGGCTTGTACTTTCCCTGATCCTCTGAACCCTGTTAGCTACAAAGGTGTGGAAACGACGTGCATCATTGTTTATGTAGCCCAGCACCACCTTTGAATCAGTCCAGAAGTACTCCTTTGCACCATAACACAGTTCTTCCCGTAACATGTTGCTGACTGAGACTGAAACTACAGCTGCTGTTAGTTCAAGTCTGGGGATTGTGGTCAGTTTAGTTGGAGAAACTCGAGCCTTTGCTATTACCAGAGAGCAGTGAACTTCACCTTTAGCGTTCTTTGCCCTCAGATAGCTACATTGTCCATAACCACTTGAGCTTGCATCTGAAAAGTGGTGCAACTCTATTTCTTTAGTTTCACCAAAGTTAGCAGGCAGGTAACAGCGAGGTATGTTTAGCTTGTCTAGATTTACAAAGTCACTTTGCCAGCTCACCCACCTTGGCTTGAGTGCATTAGGTATGGGGTCGTCCCACCCGACACCATGCTGACACATTTCTTGCAAGATTTTCTTTCCATTCAGCACATATGGTGCTAAAAATCCAAGTGGGTCGTAGATTGACGCGACAGTGGATAGAATACCTCTGCGTGTGGCTGGCTGGACTTTCAGTGTGTTGTCAAATTTGAAACAGTCCTTTTCAATGCTCCACTGGATGCCTAGTGCTCTTTCTTGTGGCATGTCTTTGAATGTCAAGTCTCTTATGTTAATGTTTACAGCACACTCTGATGCAGGTATACTTTGCAAAACAGTGTGATTGTTAGAAACAAACTTGTGGAGACGCAGGTTACCTTTGCGGCAGATTTCTCTGGCTTCTTGTGCCAACTGCATTGCTTCTTTCACTGTGTTTGTGCTCGTAACTCCATCGTCGACATAAAAGTCTTTCTCAATGAACTGTGAACCTGCTGGGTGTGAGTGGCAGTGCTCTTTGGCTAAGTACTTCAGTCCATAATTTGCACAGCCTGGAGATGATGACGCACCAAAAAGGTGTACCTTCATTCTGTATGTTTGAGGTTGTGTGCTTGTATCACCGTTTTTCCACCAGAGGAAACGTAGATAGTCCCGGTCCCTCTCACTGACATGGAACTGGTGGAACATCTTTTCTATATCGCACATTAAGGCAATAGGATGTTGCCGGAATCTCAAGAGAATGCCAGTCAGATTGTTTATTAAGTCTGGCCCTTGGAGGAGATGATCATTGAGACTTGTTCCATTGTGTTTGGCTGAACAGTCAAATACGACACGCAGTTTTGTGGGCTTTTTGGGGTGGTAAATCCCATGATGGGGGATGTACCATTGTTCACCTTGTGTTCCTTCGTTGTGTACTTCTTCCACGTCTCCTCTTTCAATTATGTCATTCATGTATGCAACATAATCATTTTTGTAGTTCTCATCCTTGTTCAACCTTCTCCTTAAGTGTTCCAGTCTGATCTCTGCAAGCCTTTTGTTGTCTGGTAAGTTTGGCCTTTGCTTGAATGGAAGAGGCATCTCACAGTATCCTTGTTCATTTTTCTTTATCCCTTCCTTAAGTTTTTCCAGAAAAACGAGATCCTCTTGTGAGACCGTTTTGTCACATGCCTTTGTGTCCTTGAAATCTGATTCAAGAACATTGATCATGTCCATTGGTGTTACGGCAGGCATTTCCTTTACCATGACCCTATGGCACAGACTTGTTTCAGTTTCATTTGACTCTGATGAGCCACCAACAATGCTCCACCCTAGGTCTGTCTGTATGGCAAATGGCTCATTGTCTTTTCCGAGTAGAACCTGTTTTGGAGCTAGAGTTCTGGGACAGTTAAATCCAATGAGTAGTCCAACATCACAACTCAGGAGAGGGGGTATCTGATCAGCGATCTCTGACAGATGGGGCCATTGCCTTGCAGTTTCATTTGTGGGTATGTTGTCATAGTTAAATGGGATGTAGTCCTTTGTGTAGGAGGGTGGAAGGTCGATGTGAACATCTGAATTATAACCTCTCACACGTAACCCTGCTACTCTCTGGCTTTTGACTGTCATGTGAACTCCCAGCATCGTGGTTAGTTTTAGCTTAACTGGATGGGATGCTGCTTGTAACTGGTTAGTTACCTCCTCACTGACAAATGTGTTGTCACTTTGTGTGTCTAATAAAGCGTACACAAGCTGCTCTTTAGATGGACTCTGAGTAGTGGAAACCCACACAGGAACAATCATGGAGGTACTACCTGATTGACCCACCTTAGTAACATTCAGAGCTGTGGCTGCCATGGTGTCATTTTCTGTGGTTGAAGCGACGTTTGTAGAGCTCTGAGGCCTTTCATTTGTCATGTGACTCTCATTGTGCAAACAGGTGGGGTGTCGTCCTTTGCAAGTGTCACATTTGTGGCGATGACGACAGTCTCTGGCATTGTGGCCCACCTTTAAGCACCCGTAGCACAGTTTATTTTCCTTCACAAATGTCCGTTTGTGGTCTAGTGACTTCTCTGAGAAGCTTGGGCACTTTGACAACTGATGACTTTCATCTTTGCAGAACATGCAGGCCACCTTTAACCTTGTGTCATTTGACTTAGTTTTTTCTCCTTGTACTGTGGCTTGTGTAGTGAAGACTTGAGTCACAGATCTGTTTGGTTTGGTCTCCCTTACGTATCTTTTCTCCAAGGATGTACTGTGGCTTGTGTAGTGAAGACTTGAGTCACAGATCTGTTTGGTTTGGTCTCCCTTACGTATCTTTTCTCCAAGGATGAGCTGCTTGAATAGAGTGCATATGAAGAAGTCACAGGATTACATGCAATTTCTGCCTCGAGTGCTACAAACTCTGCAAAATCCTTGAAAGAGGGAAAATCTTTGCCTTTCATGAGAGCAACTGTGACTTGACGGTTCCAACGCGTTGCAAGCCATTCTGGAATCTTATGCAATAACTTTTGGTTTTCCTCACAGTCACTTAGTATCTCTAAGCCCTTTACATGTGGTGTTGCTTGCAGACAGGTTGTGAGAAAATCAGAAAAGGCCCGTAGACCTTCTGCATCTTTTGAGTGGATTTTAGGCCACTTTGACAGTTTGTCTCTGAATGCCTTTTGAACAACAAATGGCTGACCGTAGCGTTGGTCAAGTCTTTTCCATGCATCTTTGTATGCCTCTTCATCACTGCGGTAGAACGTGCCCTCAAGACACTTAAGAGCAGGACCAGTGATATACCTTTTTAACAAATGCAGTTTTTCAGCTGGAGATATACCTTTGTGGCCCACCAGTGAGATGAAGGAAGCCTTCCATTCGATGTAGGTGATGGGATCTCCGCTGAACACGATGGGCACAGGCACTGGAATTCTGCTTACTGCTATGCTGTCTTGAATAGCTTTAGCCAGCTGCAATACGTCTGTGGGAGGCGATGGAGTGACAATTTGTGAGTGCAGTTGTTGTAGAGGATTATTGACAGGGATGGATGCATATTGTTCCACACGTGGGTGATATGAACCTGTAGAGAGCTCTGAGGCTGGTTGTGCAAAGCTTTGGTTGATAACAGACATCCCATTGCTCTGTAACATTAACTGACTGTCCATATCAACTTTAAACTCCTTGTCATAAATCTCTAATTTTGCACGTGCTGCTTGCCTTTCCTTTTCTGCTTGTAAACGCTCTAGTTCAGACCTTTGTGCGTCCAATTCCCTCCTGTGTTTCTCTTCCATTTCTCTTATTTTTTGTTTTTGTTTTATTTCTTCTTGTGTGATTTTATACTGAGCTTCTTTTGCAGCTAATTCTGCAACAGCATCGATTCTTTTGGCTGCAATGCTTACTTCAGATTGGTAACTTGACTGTGATGCAGTACCAAATATGGATTTAGCATGTTCATAGGCTAAGAGCTGATGGAGGCGCTGCCTTTCTCTATCTGCATCATACTCATCTATAGCTGCTAAACGCTCAGATATGATTTTCATAATGTCCTTTGTCACTGATTCACAAGAGTCCATTTTGCGCCTTATGACATGGGAGGGTTCATTACGCTCTCTGTATTCACTGTATGCTTTTGTCATATCATTTACTGTCCTTTCAATATCATCAGCCATTTCTGCTAACCGTGAATCTGATAAATCAATTTTCAGGTCTTCTCTGTATACTCTGACCTGACTTTTCCAATGTTCATAAATGGTTAGCAGTTTCTTCTCTCTTTTATTCTGTTCATCCCTTTGATATAAGAGCATTTTCTCTGTGGGCGCACTGGGCCGTTCTGACCGCCTTGGGAACGTTTCATTAGCTGTTTCATCAGCTTCGCATGTTAATTCCTTTCGTTGTTCCTTTTCGTTTAACTGACCTCCTTCTATATTTTCCATTTTGAGAGCAATTGCTTGTTACCGGACCGCTGCTGTAGCTTGCTGCTCCGTGCCGTGCCGTTACCGTTCCGATCGCAGGAAGCTCTCTCTCTCGCTGCTCCCGGAGGCAAGCTCTTACTGCTCCCGGAGGTAAGCTCTTACTGTAGCGAACCCCCCCGAATGAAGGATGACACTTTACTGATGACGTTTTGAAGGTTTAATGGCAGTAAACCATCAATCTCACCGTAAGAGCTGGGGATGTATACATAGAAACAGCGTGTAAGCAAAATAATCCAAAATCTTACAATCGTAAACCTTATAACATGAAGTTCGTTTCAACGTAACATTTAACAAATGTAGCGACTGTCACAAAAACATCTAAACGTCTCCTTATTTACATCATAACCATACCTTGTGCCTCTATCAAGGGGGCTGCTAATGACAAAAGAAATCACCATAGGCTCCGTTAAGCCATCACTTTTCTAAACTCCCGCGACTGCTGCTGAAAACTGCGCCAAAAACAGTTTTACAGGAAATCGTCCCATCAAAATAAAAGCTTCTACACACGGACAGGAAGTTGGTAGTAGAAAACAGGAATGAGTGCCAAAATAAGGTGCAAGGAAAGGCATTCAGGGTTATTTACACAGTGTATTGATTATTGTCACCTGGCTGCTGCTGTGAGGTGGACTCACAGGTCTGTGACCCCGACCGTTTGTCTACCTGTAGACAACTGTAGCTGCCTCCACCAGTGTGTGAATGTGAGAGTGAATGAATAGTGGCATTGTAAAGCGCTTTGGGTGCCTTGAAAAGCGCTATATAAATCCAATCCATTATTACCTGAGCGACAGACTGCACATTTTCCACAGGTATGTGGAACAGGTGACGTCAGTGGTTCACATCAGTGGAGGAGGGAAAACGAATAAAGTCCGAATAAAAGTGTTACACGCTGGTATCATTTCAGCGTCCAACAAAAACATGAAACCACTTCAAACGAGTGAACAGGAAGTGCAAAACACTCATTCCTGCAGCCCTGTATCTGTAAAGCTTTTATTCTGAAAGCCTCTTCACCGGTCTGTCTGTGATCAGAGGACTCTTACTATGAAAAGTCTCTGAGGTCAATTCCCTTCCTGAACTCTGCCGCAGAAAGATGGCACTGGGAAGCTGGGGCTGGTCGAGTTTAAGGTGCTGTGGACCAAGATCGAGAACTATCTGATGAGTACAGGCCGGGAGAGCGTGATGAAGGCGAGGGTGGTGGAAAGATTAGTACACCGGTTCCTCTGTGCGCTCAGCAAACCTGACACGCACACATTCTTACTAATCAGGTGTTATGACACCTAGCAGCAGGCTGCCGCTCTTTCATGGCGATAACGTCTCATTTGTAGCCACAAAAGTTTAACATTATCTTATGCAGAGCTTAAATAATGCATCAAGCACCACCTAGTGTTGGGTTTTTGCCACAGCTGCCCCAAATTACCAGTATCAATAGTTAATCCACCAGTGTGCACAAACACTTTAATCTAAATTAAGTTTTTAACTAAAATAGATAATTACTGCTGTTACCATGGACTCAAATGTACTTTTTTACTTAAAAAATAATAAAGCATATTATTGTCTGTGAAGGTTCTCAGTCATCCAGGTCATCGTAGTCTAAGGAGCTTGGAAAGAAAAGTGTCTGGACTTCCTTAAGTTGCTTTAAGACATTTCAACTATCAGCAGAGAAGCTTCTTCAGTTCTAGGGTCAAATGGTGGAGAGTCCCAGATTCAAACCCAGTGGGATGATAATAATATGTTTTATTATTATTGTTTTATTATTATTATTGTTTTATTATTATATGTTGTTAAGATAATTATTAGTTAGTTCATTCCTGAACAGAAGCAAATTTTGGTGGTTTGACGTTGTGATTGATTAATTATTGACGGCTCAGAGACGCCCACACTGTAAAAAAATATTCTTAGTTTGTTAACTTGTTTTTGACAGGCGCTTTAAATCTGTTCAGGACTGTATATGATCATGTTGCCTGGCAACCGCATTAAAATCCCAGGTGAAACCAGAGCGCCTCACTGTCAGATCTCTGGAAGGTGGCGCGACCGCTCGCTGGAGCGGCCCTCTTTGTTCTACAGTCTTTGTGCAGATGATCGCACAGCTGATCGCACAGCTGGTGTTGGAGCTTGTTGGTCTGGTGACTCAGGCGGGCTCTCCTTCAGTCCTCGTTTATAAAGTGCTTTAAGAACAGAGTGGCGCTCAGTGGGGTAATTAGCCTGTAGCGCTTCGCGGCCCGTTTGACTCGAGCTAAAGAAGTAAAAGAATGTTTGTGGCAGCTGCTCGAAGCTTTATTGATCTGCTGTGATATTGATAGCATCGATTAGTTTGGTCCTAGCGCTCCTTCATCCGCTGTGCTGCCTTTACCCTAAGATACACAACCGCTTTGTGCCTAATTACAAAAGAGGCGGAGTTTGCTGCAATCAAACTCCGCCTCTTTCATGTGATCTCGCTCGTAGCTAGAGTAATGAATCTCAGACGTGTGCCTGATCATGTAATTGCACACCTGCTGCTTCAGTGACGCCGGACAGCGAACCCATCCTGGAGCCAGAGGTCATTCCACCGGGCATTGGCGTGCTGATCTGACGCCGCTGTGATGCGTTTCTGTTGTCAGAGTCTACTCTGACAGGGACGTGGACAATTCAGGGTCCATCAGGTCGGCGGTGGAAGACGAAGGTGAGCTTCGTCAGGCCTGTTTGCTTGCTTGAGTGCTTACCTGTATGTGCTCACATGTGTGACCTCTGTGTGCTGCAGGTTTCTCCCTGAACAATCCGCTCCATCAGGTCCTGTGGCTTGCTACAGCGAACCCGATCTCACCATCGACTTTGACAACTTCGTGGGCTGCTTGGTGCGTCTGGAGGCCATGTTTGGTGAGTCGTCGCAGCCCTGAGTCACAGATGTTTCCATCTTCATCCACCTCTTCATCCTGTCCATTTCCTCTCTGCAGACGCTTTCAGCGCTCTGGAGAAAGACGGGTCGGGAACCATCGAGCTCAAGCTGATGGAGGTACCATCTTCATTATTAACCACACAGCCATCCTCACTCAGCGCTGACGACGCTGAAGCAGGCTCCACCGAAGCAGGCTCCACCTACTGGTGACTCTAAGCAATTAAGAGTTGACCTTTTCATGACCCCTGAAGGGTTCCTCACCTGTAAGGAGGCGGAGCTCTGAGTGTAATGAAATGACAAAATAGTGAACAAAGTTTTTATTAATATTCAAACCCAAAACAAAGACACAGCATCTCTGCAGGACACCTTTAAAGCTGCTGAGACTCTTATTTAGAAAGTCTACATGTTTACTTGCTGTTCACAACAGGAAGTTCAGGTGAATGTGAAGCTGCTGGTTTCTCGTTTATAACCAGTCTATGGGTTGGACGGGTCGTAGCTTTATTCAGGAAATGAAACTTTATTCTGAAAAACAAAGTTTGGTTTTAAGCTGAGTTGTCACCCCTGGCAGGCTTTTATTTTGAAAGCCCAGACTTGGATCACCTTTGAAAAGATTTAGGTGTGTTTGGTCACATGATTTAACACCTGTGTTTGTCTTTGCAGTGGCTCAATGTGTCGCTGCTCTGAGGTCCTCGAAACGCCAGGTGATGAACCTGCTGGGTGCTGGTTTCTGATTGGTTAATCCTCCCTGTGATGTGATTAGCTGAGTGTTTCATAATGTAACCTTTCACAATAAAGAGAATATCGAGAGCATGGCTGTCTATCCTCTTTGAAATCAAACTTCATGTGTTCAGAAAGTTCGCCTCAGCCTATCATCCAATGAGAAGAGGGTCTTCTTTATGACATCATCACTGCATTCTCTGGGAGGCGAACTCCTTGGCCCACCTCAGAGCCTCGGTGATGTCATTGCTGTTTCCTGTTCCCTTGGCAACCACCTCTGAGCCACCGGCGCTCCCGTTGAGGTGGTAACACACAGCCACTGCCCAATCAGAAGCGACGAGGGATGGCGAGACCTGCAGAGGAAGGGGCGGTCAATTAGACGCTTCCTTTTCCTGATCAGATATTGTCCAAACAGCTCTGAGAATGTTCACCGTGTTTTAGTGATAGAAAGCTACCGTCAATAGAGCACTGTTACCACGGTAACTGACTGAGCATTTAACTGTCTTCTGGAAGCAGAAAAGTTGAGTTTGATCTCAGAATTAACAAACTCAGAGTTTCACTTACACCTTTGTTTAAATAAGAACGGCTTTTTTGATGTCACATCCTGTTAAGCCTCACATTTAAGACAAACATCACAGTGGGCGGAGCCTGGCTGCTTAATAGTAGTTACCTTGGGAACCTGACAGGCACACAAAACCTTGCCAGAATGCCTCTGGTGAGCGAGCAGCATCACATGACTGAGAGGAGCAGTGGAGCTCAGCTGGTTCACTGTCTTCATCAGAACCTGAAACATTAGAACCACATCAGAGCAGAACCTCAGTGATCCGACAGAACCAGGCTCAGGATGTCCCCGCCCCTCTCTGAGCCTGGCTCTGCCGGAGGTTTCTTCCTGTTAAAAGGGAGTTTTTCCTTCCCACTATCGCCAAAGTGCTTAGTCATAGGCGGTCATATGATTGTTGGGTTTTTCTGTCTGTATTATTGTAGGGTCGACCTTACAGTATAAAGCACTGTGAGGCGACTGTTGTTGGTGCTGCATAAATATATTGAATTGAAAGTTCTTCGTTCCCACTGTCACCTAGTGGTAGGACGCTTCTTGAGGCACCTTCTGTGATTTTGTGCTGCATGAATCAAACTGAACAGGGATTAAAAGCATGAATTTAAAGTGTGTGAGGCTTCATTAGGAACGGTCTCTACGTACTGACAGAGAGCTGGTCTCCACCAAGTCCACCAGCAGCTGCGTCCTTCCGTGTTTCTCCTGCAGGGCCTGAGCTTGCACTGCCGCCTGAGAAAAGCATGATGGGGAAAAGAGTGTCAAAGCAGCCACACACTCAAACTGTCCCCCATCACACAGTCAGGTGGATCACACGTAAATCACCTGGGTTTAATGACATCATCAGCAGAGCACCAATGGGTGGGGGTGTAATCAGCTCTGATTGATTAGCCCTGCGTGCGTCTCAGGGCGTGCTCACCTCTCTGGTCTCCAGTTTCCTGACGGCGGTGTTGCTCGTCCTCTGCAGAGCGCGGAGTCGACTCTGCAGCTCTCTGCGCTGCCACTGTGGGATGGGGATGTTATCCACAGCCTGGGAGACACAGCACAGGGTCAAAGTGCACACAGGCTCACACAGGAAGCTGGGACGCGCGCTGTTCCTGGGTCAGTCCACAGCCTCATACACAAACTGTTTGGGTGTCTATAGATAATATTTCCTCTGCTGATTATAACTCACCTGTTTAAACTATAACGTTTGGATTGTTAGGGGCGTGGCTTCTCTGACTGACAGGTCATCATACTTACATCTGAGAGGATGCCCACCTCCTTGGAAAAGCACTGGGCAGTGTCCAGGCAGGAGGGGGCGGAGCGTCCAAGTCTGGCTGACAGCGAGTCGACGTCCTGAGATAGAACGTGCCCTGCCTCCCGAGCCTGAGAGCACAGAGTGTTAAAAGAGCTGAGTCTCATTTTATTCCACCTAATCATTATGTCGTGACTTCACTGACCTGTGCCGCTTCCTGTCCCGTCACGGCAACGATCCGACTGACTCCTTTCACCAGCTGCCTCTCAGAGACGATCACCAGGTCCTCGATGGCGCCGGTCTGCAGCAGGTGACTGAACACAGAGACGGCCGGCAGAGCGCCAGGTGACACGTCTACACCTGCTATTTAAACTTAACCTCTCAAACAATGACAGGTCACATGACATCTGATTATCCTGACTCATGGCAGCTGTAATATTACTGTAAATAAAAGATGGAATGGCTGCTGTGAC